TCTATGCCCGATAAAGCCACCCCGTGAAACACGACACCCCGAACTCGATTCTCTTCGAAATCGTTCGCTTGCCCGACCAGCACGCGCACCTACAGGCATATACGGGCTAACTGCTACTTTAGGGGTGAAAACATGGGGTCTCATAATTCTAGCAATTGCGATGATCGTAACGAGAATCGAGGTGGGCGGAGGAGCTTTATTAGATTTTGATTAGAAAATAATGCGAGTGGCTTTCCGTAGAGGGAAAGTGGTAGATATTTGTATGAGGCTTAGAAGGGGTTGTTTCTTCAGAAACCAAAGGAATATAAAAATGAATACGCTTTAAATAGGTTCGTAGTGACAAAAATTTATTAGTTATCAGATTGCTAAAATTGGTACACTTCATGAAATACCGCGATGACAATATAGAAACGTTGCTATTGTAGAACGTTCTATTGTTCATTTGACACGGTGCTAATGGATTCGATTAAGGATCTATGAAGCTATCTCGAGCTACGTGGAAACGGAAAATAGCTGGTGTGGTGACCTAGGCGATCGACTTGCCCGGTATCGATGCCCGGGGAATAGAGCAGTGAACTGTTCGAGGTCAAACGAGAGTATAAAAGCTGCTCGGCCAACGCAACCAGTTCTCTAAGTCTAAAGTACCATCATCGAAACGATCTATCGTTTATGCAATTTTCAAAGCTCAGTGAGATCCTCCGGTGATAGGGTGCAGATTTAAGAATTACCCCAACTTTCCAGACCTACGGTATCGTCCAGTAACTTCGAGAAACTTATCCCAGATTCGAAACAATTAATCTCTCCGCCTTCGTGGTTATCAAGTTTCCAAGTAATCTGCCGTAGGTTCAAGAAATGGTCGATTTTCCTCGCGATTCCCCATGACTCGTTCGGATTACGTGGCCTACCGATCGGCATACGTCTCTGACCTCACCGATCCATCGACGCTCCGATAGAGCGAGAGAGAGGACAGCTCGCTCGTTGCGAATTCTTGGGGTCGTAGGTGCGCGTCGGAGCAAGCGCGCGCGCGCACATGAGCGGTTAATGCCCCCGAGCCCGAACGGAGAGTGTCGCGGCGTTTCGAGCGGAGCGTAGCGCATGCGCTTGCACGGGCGCGCGCATTATGTACGTCACCGTTACTCCGTTTCGTGTCCTGTCCTCTTCTCCCCTCGTAACCTCGGTATCACTGGTTGCACGTCCATCTCTCTCTCTCTCTCTCTTTCTTTATTCTTGACGCCTCTCCTCTCCTCTCTCTTTGTTCCTGCTTTTCCATCTTTGCCCTCCTCCATCCTCTCCGCGGTTCGCCCGCGGGAGCAGATACACTCACCTTCCCCTACCACCCTCAGGAACACTCTACCACCTCCCTCCTCCCCTCCCCCCCTTCGTGAACGATGCAGTCGCGCGCTCCGGTCGTTGCACCCGCGACCACGTCGTGTGTATATCCCACACTCTCCTTACCTACATCTATACGCGCCAGTGCACCGATACACATCCACGCTAGCTCGCTCCTTTCGCGGAAAATAAAAGCGAACCGGTGAACGTGACTCGGGAATTTCTGACACGCTTGCGACGTTTTCGTCGATGATCGGTCAACAGCAGAGGAACCGAGGAAATGACGATTAACTTTCACGAGCGGGGCGAAAGTTTCGGAGACGAGGCAGCCTCGTTTTCGGACGGTCCATAGGAATGCAGGCTACGCAATTATTGCACTTTGGTAGATTCAGAGATATTTATAGAATTTATGTAATCCAAGGTTAATTAAGAGCAATTTGCAGTTTGGAAGATGCAAGATGTCACCATGGTATTCTTCGAAATTAATCAAATAAATGTGGATTAGTTAAAACGATAAATTAACAAAAGTGGCTAAAACCGTAAAGGGTTAATTGGGTCGTGATTGAAATTCAAATTAGGCGATGATTTTTGGGATGGTTGGTTTGGTATCGTTTCTAAGAATTGTTACCCTTTGTATATCTAAAAAATAGATATTCTCGAGAAAGATCGAGACTTTCGACAAGTATCTGTTTGCATTTTGCCAACACAATAGAGGCGCGTGCGCGAACGAACGTAAGTTAAGGCGGTACGCAAAGGTGGTCGCCCCCTGACCCGTGTCAGGGGGAATGCACAGTTTCAGAGATCGATGCACCGCATTCTCGCACAACCCCACCTCTGCCGGATTCCCGCCAAGCATAGGGTTCAACAGGGGTTGCTGGCCTCGTCCGGGGATCCGCGAGTCGAGCTCGCGACCGATAACGCTTTGTCGGCCGGTCTGTCGATCGAATGGTAATCGGTTTTCTCGCGGCATGCGAAAAGATTCCGTCGCCTCGTTCCTTTCTCGAATGTTCATCGCGACGATACGTTGGAGAATTTCCAGAACGGGGACGAAATGGAACGGGTTTCGTGGAAAACAAACGGCGAGGCAGGGTTCATTGGCCCGGCTAGGCGGTAAGCGAACGATTTCGAACGGAAAGCTGTCCGCTACGGGGGCAACTGGGAAGCTTAACATTGGCAACGCTGACAGTTCATTGACTTGCATCGAACGCGCGTGCACCGATTGACAGGCCGGGCGAGGAGGTGCAACGGTACATCGTTCTCTCGTTCTCTCGGCCTGTCCACGAAGTTGAGGTAGGCGAGGTCGCGTGTCTGACGTCACGGCAGAGTCACTTGACGACGAGTGTCGCCAATTCCGTACGCGTACGTGCATACGCGTACAAACGCGCCTGCGCTCGCTTCGAATCGTGTTGAAGAAGATACGAAACGACGATCACCACGACGACGCCGACGACGACGACGACGTTCCACGCGTCGTTCGTTACGTAACTGCGAGCCGTGGGGTCGTTGACCGATACGCGGCCAGGAACTTCCTCCGCCCTGACCTACCTCTTTTCCTATTCTCAATTACTTACTGCTACGATGAAAAAAAAAAGAAAAAAAGAAAAACTCGCACCGAGCCAAGCTTCTGTCACTTTTGTCTCGGTCTTCTTACGCTGTTTATCTTACGCGTTCGTAATCGTGGACTTCGGTTAGATTCGAGTTCGTATCGACGTAGTGTTGGTCGACTGGGGGCAGGGGTTATTCACCCGAGACGTTTGAAAAGGAATTGTCAGCCGGCTGTTGGAAAACGGCAAACGAGCCTCGAAAAAGCATAGGTGCACAGAGGTGCAACCCTCGAAAAATGGGGAGGGAGGCTGTCGGTTCCCGCGTTTATTCGTGCCGGTCGAGAGGAAGGGTCGTCTAGTATCGAGAAAGAGAGAGAGGCGAGGGTAGGGCGGGACAGCTCGAGAGGGTGGTTCCTTGCAGAACGCGGCACGGAGAGGAGGGAAGGAACCCGTTAGTAGAGCGCTCGAAGCGCGCGAGCCACTATGGTCACGCGTTCAGTTCGGTCGACGAAGACCGCGCGATATCCGAGGGTTTGCCAGTATGAGCGAACGGGACAGGGAATCGTGACGAAGAGAGAGAGGGTTAAGCTGGATGAGAAGGAATGAGAGAGAGAGAATAAGGGAGCGTGAGAGAGAAAGAGAGAGAGGAGACGAGGAGCGCCAGTGCGCGCAAGGGGGACTCTCACTTTCACGCGGTGAACTGCGGGTGAACGTCCGGGAATTGGGTCAGAGTGTCCCCCACCTCAACGAGTCAGAGGCAATGTGCCGAGGCTCTATGCTCTCTGTGCTAGAAAGAGCCAGTCCACAGCCAAGCTCCGATACAAACGGTCGCTTCTTTTTACCCCCTCCTCCCCCTACCGAAAACTTGCGTCTCGACTCGCATGATATCGCACCGTCGAACAGTTACGCTCGATTCGTTGGTGAGTTTGGTGGTTCGACGACCCGTGTGCATCATCATCCGTCTCTTATTATAGTCCTAAAGTGAATTGGACCTAGACTGTGACAAGGTTTTTCCCCTTTCATCCGGCACGATTCTCGCGAGTTCGTTGGTTCGTAAGTTTCGTCGAGTTGCCAACGGGTTCGTTCGTTGCCATACGTGACAGTAGGAGAGAAGTTGGCCGATAGAGGAAATCAGTGCGCGTGCGAACGGCACTGATTGTCGTTTCGATTGGTACGTGTGATAAAAAGAAAGGACACACACACACACACCCACTGACAGCCAGGTGAATTTAATGGGGTGCTTGTGCGAATGTGACCTGGCCACCCCGCGAACGGGGACCAATTGCTCGTCAGGGTCCTCCTCGGACAGTGACGGTCAGACTGACGAGGGTTTCGTTGGTGATTCGCAGGGATTCTTCCGGCGCAGCATTCAGCAGAAGATTCAGTATCGACCCTGTACGAAGAATCAACAGTGCAGTATCCTGCGGATCAACAGGAATCGCTGCCAGTATTGCCGCCTCAAGAAGTGCATCGCTGTAGGGATGAGCCGTGATGGTGAGTCATTCTCTTTACTCTTTCAACGTTTATGCTACTCCCTACCCGTTAACACTTGTTACACCCTCCGCGCGAGCATTGAAAAACGAGCGAAACTTATCAGCATCAGATTACTTTGAAAACGTAGCGTCTAAAATCCGAACTAAGGGGTCGTTGACCGTTTGCGTAACGCCGTTCCTCACGACACAGCAAGAGTGTCGCAATGGGCGAAAGTGGCCAGTTCGATGTTTGAGAAAGCAGCAACCGCGATTATACTCCTCGATATCGAGCTCTCACGATCAGGTTGCTTTCTTTTCGAAACATCGCCCGATTCCGCCACCCGTTGACCTATTTTCGCGCGAAACTACTTGCCAGTAGATTCGACCGAGGCGACGCGACGCGACACGCAGACTTACCGAGGTCAACGACCGGGGAGCGTTGCCTGACTTACCGCCGATGCATCTACTGCGGTCTGATCTATACGCGACCCTAACTACTGGCGCATCTAAACCGACTACGCTACGCGGCGCCTGCAAGCGTTACCTTTACGATTTCCTATTCAAATTCTTCATACGTTATTTTCATCGTACAAAGTATTACCTTTGTTTATCAACAATAGTGATTTATTTGTACTGAAAAATTGAAAATGTTCTATTTGCATGTAATAAGAACGGAAGTTTTTGAAGCAAGTATGTTTGATAGCAACGTGGACTGCGCTGTGGGGTCAATAGTCGGGCATTGCTCGGCTTGCATGCTGCTCCACGTCCGTAGAAAGAGTACCGCTACTCGCCGCTACGTACCCGGTGACCCTTCCACCTCCTTCCACGCTTCCATTCCCCACCTACAGTAAGCGTACATTATCGCGACCATCTCCCGCCTTCTCCCACTTTGTGCTATCGCTCGTTCGAAGTTCTCCCTACCCAGGCCAACCGTAGCGACAACGCGCCGTCGCGTGGCACTACGCTCCACGCGGAGACCTCGCGAACTTCGTCCCCTTCGCGATCGTGTGTGTACGCCCCACTCTACGTCCAGTCGAAGCCGCCCCTCCAGTAAGTAGTAGAGCCACCTGGTAGTCGGGCGCATGCTCGTCTCCAGTAGTCCCGCCAAACCGATGTAACCGACTGAACAGTCTCGCAATTTGCGGCTGGACACTCGCGTGGAACGTTCTCCCGCGTCTGCACTCGCTCGCTTCGCTAGTCGACCGTTCGAAATCTGCGTTAACAGACGCGTTTAGAACGAGATTCGATCGAGTTGCTTTATGAGAGAATATGATATAAATGAAAGTTAACCGACTACGTTAACAGGGGAAAAAATACAGTTAGACGTTCGCGCGATCATTTCCGTCGAGAATACCGTCATGATAGTCGAGGCTGCGCGTAATAGGGTGGCAAGCACGCCTCGCGGTATAGCGGTGGAACTTGTACGTGACCAAAGTCGTACGCGTTATGAATCGCGATCGCGATGAAGTCTCGTAGTAGTCTTGGTAATTGGCGAATATACGACCTTACGTTAAACCAGCCAGACAAACGTTCGAGGTTACACGCAAACATACTGAAAGAATCCAATTCCGAGCAATCGACAAGGGAGTTAATCTTGTCAACAGGGGAAAAAAGAGATAATATGACATCGAATGACAGAGGAATCGATCGTCCGTGAACAGATAAGTCGTACGACGGCAGCCGGTAACAGGGCAAATAGCCAGAGCGAGGGGTTGCCCAAGGTCGCTGAGGGTAGCTTACCCCCGGTAAAGGAAGTTCGCATCTGCGCACACGAGTGAGAGTCACCTCTGACAACGGAAAGCTCTTTCTCTTTTTCCTTCTCTCCGTCTTTCTCGCTCTCTCTTCCTTCATTCTTTGTCATATTCAGGCACGAACGCACACATATATAGGAGTGGAAGGTATACGCGCAGGCAGACAGAGACCAACACAGTCACGTACACCCTCTCTCAACGGCTACGTTCCCCGCGTACATTCGCTCGCTATATAGTATATATAGGTCGGCGGTACGCCTCGTGCGGCTGTCGCTGAAACCAAGTTCAAGGCCAAAGGCTCGGCAAAGGCCACAATCGTGGCTGGTGGTGGGAGTCGTTGATGGCTGAATAAGTGGAGGGGCTGTTGAACGCAACCCGCGGAACATCACTCAGTCGGCGGTGATGCTGTCTCGCGTTTACACGCGTTCCACTGTACCGCTCCTTTCGAGAACTCTATTCACGAAGCAGCCGTATGTGTTTGGCGGCGCGCCGTGCACGCCGCGTTACGTTACGAGTATACACGTTGGAGTGACTTGCGGGGACAACGAGTCGACCGATAGTCAGCCAGCGAATAATCATCATCATCGCCAGGATAAAAAAAGTTTGCCGCGAAGCGGCTCGATCAGACCGGGATATTAAATATTAAATACATCATCGACTGTCGCGTGTATATGGTGTCCTTTACGGAGTATAGTATCATTTGCCAAACACCGACCGGTAGTGATTGTGCCCGATGGGAGACTAATTGTTGTGCGTGGTGCAGTTCGTTCTGAAGCTAAACGCCGCACACGGGGACACGATTAAGGACCAAGCGTTTTTCTTGACCGTCATGGGTGACGAGTTACCCATACTGAAGGGAATCCTCAACGGAGTTGTTGACTATCACAATGCACGTAGGTGTCCAGTGGAGAGGCAACGCGTGCCTGTCGCATCGGTTTTGTGTATATACCCCGAACGCGTTCGCTTCTCGCCCTCCGCCACTTGTTCGCCGAGGACTTTCTAACGGAGGAGGATTCGTAGCACGAGGCGAGTCGCCGCCACTTTCATTTCTCGCGCGAGAAAGTCGTGCGCTTTCCCCTCTCGATTTTTTATCCCCCCACCCCCACCGCCAGTTAGATCCGACAAATGTTAGCCCACTAAAAACGTGTATCTGGTGCAGGCTGATAAGTCTCGCAACGGAAAGGTGTACCATGCTCGGACGATGGATGCGTCGTCGTCTGCACCTCTTATCCCGCGGATCGAAAACGATACACGCGAGTAACTGACGCGTTCGAAGGTCGCGTCCCGACCGACACACCGTGTCCGTTGCATGATTCATCCATTGATCGCATTAACTATTCATCGACGCGTCCTTCCCTCTGCTTTACCACTGACCGAACTTGACGTCTCTCGTCTAACCGTTGGCCATCCGTGTTTTTGCTTATAGCGGTGCGATTCGGCCGTGTGCCCAAACGCGAGAAGGCCAGGATTCTGGCTGCTATGCAGCAAAGCTCCCACAGCCGTTCTCAAGAGAAGGCAGTAGCGGCCGAGCTGGAGGACGAGCAACGTCTCCTAGCCACTGTCGTTCAAGCTCATCTCGACACATGCGATTTCACCAGGGACAAAGTGGCCCCGATTCTGGTCAGGGCACGAGAGACTCCCAACTACACCGCGTGTCCGCCAACCTTGGTGAGTATACATCAATTAACATATTATATGCCTTCCTTTTGACATTTACCTTCGTTTCCTCTCTTTCGTCGCCTTCTTTTTTTCTTGTACGCGGTGCCTCGATGTTACACAACTCTCGAGAAAACGAACGAGATTTTCGACGGTTCGTTTTTACGGTCGCTTACGTCAACTCGTGGCGGGCCTTGGATCATCCATGTCCGTTCTACGCGGAAATCGAACCAGTCGTCCTCGACTGACTGCGAACGAGGAAGCCAGCCAGTCGTTCCTCGCACGGTTCAAAGTTGTGCGAACAGGGACGTCTGGTGCGCTCTTCCTAGACGACGTTTACGACCTTCCAGGATCCTGCCGGTACTCATCTGGATCGTTTCTTCCTTGTGTTACAGGCATGCCCTCTGAACCCTAACCCGCAACCGTTAACGGGCCAGCAAGAGTTGCTGCAAGACTTTTCCAAGAGGTTCTCGCCGGCGATACGCGGCGTTGTGGAGTTCGCGAAACGTATCCCTGGGTTTAGCCTGCTCGCCCAGGACGACCAGGTGACGCTACTGAAAGCAGGCGTGTTCGAGGTGTTGCTAGTGCGACTGGCATGCATGTTCGATGCTCAAACGAATAGCATGATTTGCCTGAACGGACAAGTGCTCAAGCGAGAGTCCATCCATAATAGTAGTAACGCACGATTCCTCATGGATTCGATGTTCGACTTTGCCGAAAGGGTCAACTCTCTGCGACTATCCGACGCGGAGTTGGGACTCTTCTGTTCGGTGGTAGTGATCGCCGCAGACAGGCCTGGGCTGCGCAACACCGAACTGGTCGAGCGTATGCACAATAAACTGCGAAACGCTCTTCAGACCGTATTGGCCCAGAACCATCCTCAACATCCAGACATTCTTAGGGAGTTGTTGAAGAAAATTCCGGACCTGAGAACGTTGAACACTCTTCATTCGGAGAAACTACTGGCCTTCAAGATGACCGAACAACAGCAGCAGATGCAGGCTCAACAACAACACCAGCAACAACAGCAGCAGCAGGCGCAACATGTGATCAGTGCTCAACAACCGCAACAGCAACATTGGCCGATGGAGGAGGAACCACCCGCGTCCTGGGGTTCGGCTTCGGACGTAACCCTCGACGAAGCCGTAAAGAGTCCGTTGGGTAGCGTTTCGAGTACAGAAAGCACTTGTAGCGGAGAAGTTGCCTCTCTAACGGAATACCACCACGTCGCACCTGCAAGTGGTCATCACGCATCCAGTGCACCTCTTCTGGCCGCCACTCTCGCCGGAGGTCTCTGTCCTCATCGTAGACGGGCGAATTCTGGTAGCACCAGCTCGGGAGACGACGAGTTGCATCGTGCGTCCTTGTCGAAAACCCCTCAACCACCTCAATGCCCGCGGTTCCGCAAGCTGGATTCTCCGAGCGATAGCGGAATCGAGTCGGGAACCGAGAAACCGGATAAACCTGCGAGTAGCAGCGCAAGCAGTGCGCCAACCTCTGTCTGCTCCAGTCCACGCTCGGAAGACAAAGAAGTGGAAGACATGCCGGTGTTGAAGCGGGTGCTCCAGGCTCCTCCGCTCTACGACACCAATTCCCTGATGGACGAGGCGTACAAGCCTCACAAGAAATTCCGCGCACTCCGCCAGAAGGACAGCGCGGAGGCTGAGCCTGCGGTGATCGTGCAGCACACTCAATCCCAGCTGCATCTTCACTTGACCTCGCCACCGGCTCGTAGTCCCTCGAACCAAATGCAAGCACAGTGTCCGCAAACCGCGAGTCTCTTGAGTAGCACCCACTCCACTTTAGCCAGGAGTCTGATGGAAGGACCACGAATGACGGCCGAGCAGCTGAAGCGCACGGACATCATTCATAATTACATAATGCGCGGAGAGGCGAGTCCCAGGTCGCCGGCAGCCTCGCCATCACCAGCGGAACAGTGCGCTTCCACAACCACGATCACCGCGCGTTCGCCTCAAGGATCTCAAGGTTTGTTGCAATGCGCCACCAGCAGCTACTCGACGACGAGATGGCCCACCACGTCGGTGATCACGACGACCACGGGTGCCCGGCAGCAGCAGCAGCAGCAGCAGCAGCAGCAACAACAGCAACAGCAGCAGCAGCAACAACAGCAGCAACAACAGCAGTCTTCCTCGGACTACCTCATGGTCGGCAACTCGCCGGCCTCGTCGCCTAGGTATTTATCCGCGGCGGCAACGAGTAGTACGAGCACGAGTCCACGGCCAACCTCGAGTACGGCGGCGACGCTAGTGCTGTCCGGTTGTCCCAGCAACATGATGGAACTACAGGTGGATATCGCGGACAGCCAGCAACCGTTGAACCTGTCGAAGAAGTCGCCGTCCCCGTCGCCAAGACCGCTGGTAGGACCTTGCAAAGCTCTGTCCCTCGAAGCGTAGTGCTCTCGCGACGTTGTATGAGCGTGTCGTCGTTGTTCGTGATGTTCCTCTGGGACGTGGAACGCGCGTGTTGCAGCCCACCTATAAAGAACGGTACGAGTGATTTAGTTGTTGGTGTCGCGGTCCATACGCCACGTCGCGTCGGTCGCTCCCCATCCCGAAAACCGAGTTGTATGAAAGTGCCAGGACGCTCGAAGCGCGTGATAAACCAAATAATTTATTAATTTAAACTATTAATATCGATAAATTGCGCGAGACACGAAGGGGGAAAAAATGGTGGGAAGGTGATGGAACTCGAAGATCCGGAACTCGTAACGCGGAACCACCCTATTTTGCACGGGTACCTTGACGGAACGGACACAAACAGGTAGTTGCGCGAGTGAGAATACGAGCAGAGTATCGGTTTTATTTCTCAGAAAGACGTGTCGTGTGATACGAAACGGACAGATCGTACACGGAATCAGACGCTTTTTAAGAAAGTGCCGATCCGTAGAGCAGCAATCAGTGCCGTGTATAGGACTTTACCGTATATCTACCTAAAGAAAGCTACCTTACCCATCTACCTACCTACCACCTATCGATACAAATAATAAAACCAACAAGAACAACATAGGGAAAGCTATCTGGTCTAGGTAATCTAGAAGATAGCGTCGTGCTCCCATACGAGACGTGGGGAGCAAAGAAGAATAGGAAGAAGATTGAATGTTACAGAAATGAATAATCTATCTACATGTGATAATCATGGAAATCGCGCATCCTGTACAGTACTCCACCTCATTCATCGATCATCTACTCTACTATAATTATTGAATATTATAAAAGTAATTAATATTATTGTAACATGTGTAAGGTATAATAATCGTAAAAAAACGTTATCATCTTGTGTATGAACGCGTAGGGAAAAGAAGATGAGAGCTAGAGTGCAAGAGATTGTGCGAGAGAGAGAGAGAGAAAGGGAAGATTAAGAGTGTGTATGAGATCGACCAGAAGACAAACGAACGAATGGAACGTGAGCGTGCTTGCGCAAGTGAGTCGGGGCAAAATCGCAACAAAAAGCAACTATAAGTAGAAACTGAAACGAGCAAAATCGAAGGAGGGATAACTGCTTTTCGTTCGGTCGACTGTGACAACTGTGCAGTCGGGAAAGCGCGCATTTTAATGAAAAAAAAAAAAATATATATATATATATAAATATATATAAAGAATAAACGTTTTAAGATGTTTCGTTTAAACATATGAGACTGACCCGGCCCGCCGCGGCCTCCAGAGTTTGCAGTCAACCGTACCTTCGAACAGGAGACGCGTGTCGCCTCTCTCTCTCTCTCTCTTGTATCTGAATTAAACGAAGCGGAAAAATCAACAGTAATTTGATCTCCGGTTCGTTTAACGTTCAGTTGCGTTCGATATCTTGAAGGAACGCGAACGGTTGTTCACGGAACTTGTGATAAAAAGACGTTGTCGCGTATTGTATCACAGAGAGAGAGAAAGAGAGAGACTGTAGGAGACAAGGACGACGTTGAATGTGGGAAGGTACGAGAGACAAGAGTCAACGCGTGCGATGGGAGAGTTTGTGTGCGTGAGAGAGAGAGAGAGAGAAAGATAGAAAGCGAGCACAGAGAGTGATAAAGAGACGAAGATAGAAGACGAGAAGAGCGGAGTTGTCGCATGGAAGTCCGGTGGAATCGGCATTTAAACGGCGCAGTTGTAAATAGTAGATTCGTATGGCTAAGGTCCTAGAAGGCGCGAGTGGACGAGTTTTTTGCTTTTCGCGAACAAAACGCTCGGTGAGAGAACGAGAGAAGACAGATAAGAAAGAAAAGCGAGCGAGAAAAAAAAAAAGAAAAGTGCGAAGATACGCGGCGGGCCGCCGCCGACGTGTTGTTGAGACGCCCGCCCCGCCCCCCTTTTGTCCCCGTAGTACAGTCGACGCCGAGAATATCGGTGCAGGAGAGAGTGAGAGAGAGAGTAAGAGAAAACAACCGTGAACAGTGGCGAAAAAGAAAGCAACCATACACATACAACAGAAACACACACGAGGAACATACACACCCGCCTGCGAGAAATACGCGCGGAACATCACAGAAACAAAGACAGACAGACAGGTCAACGATAAAAAATAGGAAAGAACAGCGAAAGAGAGAGAGTGAGAGAAAGAGAGAGAGAAACGCGTAGCTAGCACCATACGAAACCAACCAGCCGAGAATCCGTAAGATAGGTAACAGGAGAAAGAAAAGAAAAGAAAAGTACACGAAGAAACGCGAAAAATCGTAGGGCAAAGAGAAACTGCTCGATGGGCACGCAGAAAAACCGTTGTCTCGCTATAACTTTTTTGAGCGCAGCACCGTCAAATCACCTCGAACACATCCCAAACAAAGCTTCGTAGTGAAACACTCTGTGTATTTATTGTACTCGAGGAAGATAATGAAGAAAAAGTCATTCCCTTTACGCTGTGTATCACCGTACAACCCCTTCCGTACACCCTCGACTCGTTTGATCCTTGTTGCTGTCACACCCCTTCGATACAATCTCACTTACCCCCTTTTTTTTTCCTTCGCCAGTTAGTCATAACCCAGCTAGAGATGATCAGCTTGAACCGTTGTTTACGTTGTAGCAAGTGCACACGTGTCACGTATATCGGGGTCAATTTCGCATCAGCTGTTACAGATCGAAGTCTCTTGTCACCCTTATTGTCCGTCTAATTGTCTCCCCCGAAAAAAACACCGATCGATCCGTATCCGAAAAATTTCTCCCACCTGTCCCAGCCATCTTTCCTATACAACACAACCCCCCGACATTCCCGTATCCCTAACACGTCCTTGCAAGCGAACTAGCGTTGATATTCGTAATACTTGTTATACATAAACTACACATAATGATTATTATAGTAAACGATACATAAAGTATGATATATTTCTCTATCCATTAAGAAGGAGGATGCAAGCAGCTGTTGTTTCTGGTGGAACGATGAGAAACATGCAACGCAAACAAAATAAATAATAATAATAAAAAAAAAAAATGGTGGTAAAAAAGTAAAAAACATATAATGTACGCGACAAAGTAACGAAATACCGAAAGTGTACTGTATTACATGGAAGAATACAAACGCAGCCCCGCATATTGCCCAGTGAGCACGTCGTTTTGTACGCTTGGGAGTTGTGAGGTCGTCTGAATAAACATTGTCTGGTGAATTATACAGAACTTCTCGTCTCTTATTCAAACGTCACCTTCTTATAATCCTCATCATTCATCAAAGTTTTTCAACGGATCGTTGGTTTGTTTCAAGACACGTTACAACGCTCGACAAATAATTGAGAGATAATAACAGCAGAGCAATTTGAAACATGCAAGATAGCATAAACGATTTAAAATAGAGAATTGAAGAATTACATTGAACAATCGATTTGGAATATCTTTAACAATTCATATTAGAAACCTGTCCGACCAAAGAGGATTATTTCTACTGCATTCGATCAACCCTACGATATCAAAGTCAAGTTTTAATCTATCAAAGAATAATCAGTCAATTTTGATTTTCTCCTCTCGATTTATTATACTCATCCACGTGAACACGATCCATCATCCCGTAAAAAAAAAAGAAACAGGAAGTCGAAAATCAATGTTCCAGCGTTAGGAGGATAAATTACGTTAATTAATTGCTGCACGAGCGCACGAACGTTGCATAATTGAGCCGGGGGAAGAAAGCGAGGAAGGGGTAAAGGGGGGTTTGTTCTTCTACGTGTTCCAGGAACGGGCAATGTTAGCAACAACAACAAATTCTCGTAGCGGACAGAGGCGCGTGGCACCCCGTGGGCGTTGGTTGCCACGCAACCAGTCTCACCTCTCTCTGTGTCCTATTCTGAACTTTCCCTTGCATCTGCACCATACCTCTTTGCCAGCGTTGCAATATACGGTGCATCCCCTCGGTATTAAGGCACGCGCGCCCACCTTACGCTCGTTGCAAATTGAAACGTAGGCGGAAAGAACGTCAGGACTCGTAATGATGGAATTATCCTGCCGCGTCAGGTTGTTTTCACTGGGATTTCTTCTTTCTCTCTCCTTTCCTTTCCCTACCTTTTTCTCGTTTTATTTTATGCTATTACGAGTAATTTTCAATTATTGCAATCATCTTCTTGCAATTAGAGGATTTTTTCGTTAATTTTTTTTTATTGAAATCAAGAAGCCAACTACGAGTTAAATGAAATTATTATAAACTGTTTTTCTTTTTTTCTTAGCTATTTGATGATATTTAAATTAATGTTATAGATTACTGATGACTCGACGATAGTTAATGTATTAACCACAATTAACGCAGATACCAATATCCCTTCCCATTCGAAACCACAGCCCAGAAATATCACTCAACACCCAACAACTAAATAGTATCAGGAGTAAGTACCAATTAGCGATCAAATCAAATTCCAAGTGTTGTATCTCAAAGGAGCCTGTGCAATCTCTCGGTTTCTAGATCCAGGATCGAGAGATCGGGACGACCTAGCAGCTGGAACAAAGATCGATAGCCACGAATGGCATAAAGCGGCACGCTAACCTCGTTCATACTCGGAATTCAATTATCGGCTGGCCGATGTCGGCCATTGTCTTCTCAAAGGATTCGTTCCAGCGGATGCTCTGGACTCGAGGCTACCCTTGAATACCACTACAGGCTACATGTAGGATAGGTTTCTCGTGTAATACATTTTTATCTCACAGTTTTGATCACTTTTCTTATTTAAAGTGGTAGACTTAAATTTCTACTGAATTAGGAGAAAAAATAGTGCAGTTTTTTATATACCGAGTGTTTCATGAATTCATTTAAACTATTTTCTTAGAAATGTATAAGAATTTATTGAGTTAATTTTAGAGCTGAATTTCAGAATAACGTTTACCAGTGTTCCAAATTCTGAAACACAAGGACAAAATAATTATCACCATGTCATCGCCATGATTCACGAAATAAACTGAAAACCTATATTCTCGTTCAGAAAATCCCCGGAATCCCTATCGACAAACAGAATCATCTTTCCGAAAAAAGGGAACGAAGAAGAAACGGGACGACCTCGCGTTCATTTGCACCTCGCAACTACTGATGGGTTCAAGTACAAATAGGTTCGAGGATTGACCTTCTACATTCGAATTCCCTAGAAATATTTCGAATAAAAGAAGCAATATTTTCAAGTAAACTCCAACTTAAAAAAAAGATATTCAATCCTTCTATGAATGCCTTAAAAATTGAAGGAATCGAGGTTTTACCCCATTGAGATTTTACCCCGGTCTTTCCTTCGTTTCGAACTTGATCCCATCACTACTCGCAACCACTATAGATTCCTTCGTCGAAAAGTACACAAGGGTTCAACCAGTCCCATTCTCGAATCGAGCAAACACAGGATCGATGTGTGAATCGACCTTAAAGCAGCCGGTTCGCTGGCAGCCGCTTGGCCGAGGAGCTCGTTCAAGGTCCGTGGACGAGGTCGCAGACACGAGTTCGAGAACGAACAGCATCCCCCCTTGGTGAAGAGAAACCCTTCCCCCTTATCAATGCGCGAGACAACGAGGCGGCGGATGTGGAGCTCAATGAGAGTTCGCATCGGCCTCTTCGCTCTTTCCGCTTCGAGTGGCGCGGTTCTCGCACTTTGTCCTCTCTGCTTTTTCCTTTTTTTACCTTCCTCCCCTTTCTGTGTCTGTCGGCGGGCGCAAGAAGAGAAACGAGAGCAAAAAGATCCGTTCAACGAATTCCGCCAAGGATCAACGATTAATTTTGATAAAAGTAATTAAAGTCATTGGAACACTATTTGAAATACGTCCACGATTGTTTGTTCCTTCAGGATAGCTGAAAACAAAGATTCGACAGATGATGTGCAATCGAATCGCTAATGAGATGTTCCTCGAAAATCCAATAATCTGTTCGAACAAACAAACGTCAGTAGGTGACAACATGACACCTCGCGATGCTTCATTAATCCCTGATAATTCCCAGATAACGACGAACAAAGTTCCGATGGACTTAAAACGAACGCCAAATTACTGGAAGCTGGATTACGTCTGTCACGATCTACCAAGAATCAGCAGTATTCTATCTTGAATCGATGATTCTTTTATCCTTATTCTTATTCCATTATTCTTACCTACCAGGGTTTCAAAAGAATTTTAAAAACACAAGAAGATGGAAATTAGGAAGAATATAATTACAGTCGTTTCTCGTTTAACGATTAAACATTAGCGTCCGGTTGCTAAGAGATACTTTTAAGAATTGTGACAACGATATTGACAGAACACGAGTGCAAAGGGGAGAAGATCGGAAGGGAAAGGGTGACAAAAGGGATCAGTGAGCAAACATTTAAGCGGGACACGTTATTGGACGAAAGTGCTTCGACCAAGGTCCTTCATTTGCATCACTATAGCTGACGACATACAGAATACCTATGCACGTGGATAAGACGTCACTGAATTGCTTCGAATTTTATTTCAACTCTAAGAGTGTTGAAAATATTCGAACTCTTGAAATATCAATTAATAATAGAATCGAAGGGTGCAAAAATGTGTACAAAGATTTCAGACATCATTAATTGCAAATCCTCATTAATACATCTTATCAACATATAAAAAGAAAAATCTTGGAAAAGGAAAACAAAATCATCCCAGCTTCCATGTTGAAAGCAATAAATTCACCCTTATCCCTTTTTCTCTGCGAAACCTTTCAGATCTGGCAGGATCGATACGAGGTTGGTTGATCGGAGTTTTTAGACTGATTTTTTATCATTCTTTTAGGTTGGAACGTGTCGATCGAAGGGTGCCAAGACGCTTCCCCTTTATTGGACCCGTGCCGTTCTTCCGGGTTAACGTTCCCTCGTCTTTCGAAGCCACCCACCATCGACCAGGCGTCCACGTGGCAAGGTCGCGACCCCTCTGAGAAGCAACCTTGCCCGGATCTTTCTACCCCTCGTCGAAGGGAGGATTTACGAGGGTATAATACATGTATATACGCGTACTAGTGGTGGCACGCGCGTCGAAAGCTCGAAGGGGTGCTCGTGCGTCGTTGACTTTGATATTCGAACCGTTTCGTCACGAAACAGCTGCTCGTTAATGGATTACTTTATATTGTTACATTAAATTGTAGATCATTTACAGATATCGACTATCCTTCTGCTCTAGGAAATATCAGTCAACCTGGTACGATCAAGTAATACCATCGGAGGACGCTAAATTTGCTAGGTAAAGTGTGTTACTAAAAATTTCAAATTTATCCCAAGTTTCCGAGAGGTAAATTCGAGGCAAAAGATTTCGCGTTTCATTCGAAAGCTGAAGTTTATTCGACGCAATAGGGAGCAGGAAAACGTGGCATTCACCCCAGAAAGCTTTTCCACCCTCCTTGTTCGCTTTCAATAGCGTCGTTCCCCACCCTCTATATTTTTTCGTCGCCATCCACTTCGTCGAAAGGGGATGAAATCTCAAAGAGGAACTTCCGCGTATTCTTATCGTTCGATATCATCCCGTTTTCCTCATATTTTACCGCGATAAGAGAAAATCTTTTCGTCTTTAACTTAGGATGATGTTCGGGAATCGTGACGAATGCATACGCAGGAAATGATAAGACGAAACTTTTCTTATTTCTTCTATTTATTCGTTTTCCAAATTACAAATTACAATCGGTGAATTAAAGTTTAATCAATCCGGGAGGAAAACGTAACGTCGGAAGTTTTCCACCCTAACACACTCGCTTCAACACAGCCCATCAATCTAACAGGATCCCCCATTAATACAACTCGTCCTTAATCACCAATTTCTCTGGTACAATTTTTCACGGCTCGTGTGGTTCGCGTAATCCCCTCAATTTCCGAACCGAGTCTCAAAAATTCGGCCGGGTGAAGGGTGCCAGATACTTTTACAAGTCCTATAAACACCCTTATCGGACGTTGTTTATTTTCCCTTTCGCTCGATGGATCTTACGAAGCAATGGCGATGATTCGATGCGTCTTCCGGGTTCTTAAGTCGATTAATGACACCTGGCTTCCGTCATTTTCTCGGGAAATCAACCATAAGACTGATAGATACTTTCGTTGGCTGATCTCGTCGACGTGGATCATTTGTCATCCTGCATATCGTGCGATCAGCCAGCTAAGATAAATCTTTATCTGCGGGGTTAACAACAGACCTTTCTTCTTCCCCTTTATCCTTTTTTCCCCGCCGCGATTGCTTGAAAAATG